GGTCAGTGTCTGCTCAAGTCTAGACTGCGCCACCGACGCGTACGTGCTGGAGTGCTGCGAGGCGGACTCTGGTAATAACTCCGCGCTTGAAGCCGTAGATTTCCACTGGGTTTCGACCTATCGCGTCCTGCCGTCAATGGCCTTCCGTGTCGACGCCCTCCCGCCGACGCGTGATGGTGTGACGCCGGCAAATCCCTCTCTGCTCGCCTGTGTTACTCTCTCTCTATACGCGGTTGACACGCCATGTAACGATGTACCATACATACGGCCGTGTCTGAGCGTGATCTCCTCTCCGCGCGCAGTACAAAAGCGGAGTGCGCTCCCTCCCCTTCCTCGAAGCGGCCAGGGGGGGGGGGGGGGCTTGGGCGCAGCCTGCCCAGGACCGCCAGGATGTCAAAAGTCAAAAGAGCCAAGACAGAGACACCCACTTAGTCGTAGCGACGAGAGGCACGCGTACTTCTAGCCTAGCACAGGTATACACTCAGGTGCAAGCAACCACAGCAGCTCACAGAGAACACATACTCTCGCGCAAGTACACGATTTACCACGAGTAACACGTACGAGGAAGCGCACTGCGTGCAACGCTGTGAACGCGCGCGCAAGCGACAGTATAATCGACATCCAACCGCCACGATTGGTACGCAGAGGGCAGAGAGTGGCGCGAGACGCCGGAGAGAGGCGGCGGTACGCAGAAGGCAGAGAGTGGCGCGAGACGCCGGGGAAGGGGGGGAGAGAGAGAGCTGGTGGAGCCAGTCGAAGAGCAGCAGGCTTAGTTGCAACGCTCAATAGAGCCGGATGCGGTGTTGGATAGGCCGCCGGCAGACGGGGCAGTCGCGCAGCAGGCGCGAGTAGGCGCAAACGTCGCAGAGGCGGTGGCCGCAGCCAAGCGCAATATCGCGCCTGTTGGACAGACCGTTCACCGCAAGTGAGGGGCGCATCTACTGCCGCAACGAGGAGGCCCCTCAGTCGTACCCGCGGACCATGCAGATTGGGCACTGGTCGGAGGCGGAGACCGCCGCGTCGCGCACCTATTGTCGGCCACGGGGTATATCGAGAAGAGAGTCTGGCTGGTTCCGTGGCCACGGCCGCGGCACCGGCGGCCGTGGTGCCGCGGGCGGCCGAGGGGCGGGCGCGTCAAGTCGGGAGTTGCCCAGCCGAGAGTTGGCGAGCCTACATACGGCGCTGGTGTACCCCGGGCAGATGCGAACCCACCCGCGCTAGGTCTCGGGTTTGACGCATGGGGTCACTCCCGCGAAACTCGTGCTAGCCGGGGCAGTCGGAGAAGGGGCAACTCCGTGCACTGACGGTCGGCCGCCAGAAACCACGCCTGCGTGGATCGCGTCACACCAATCCTCGCTACCCAACGCAGCCAAAGGATATCCACCTCGAGAACCCCGGGATTGTAAAATTCTTCTTTAGGTGTACCTGTGTTAGTGCCAGTGCGCGCCAGTCCCGTGCCCAGTGTTGTGCGAGGGAGTTTTGTTGGAATACTTGGTGATTGTAAAATTCTTCTTTAAAATTCTTCTTTAAATCCGCCGAAATTCGTGTCCCCGTCGGACATTTGCTCAATGTACCCTCCAGAACGACGACACCAGCATGCCCTTGTCTGCGTTTAGCGATAATCCATCTGAGAACCTTTTGATGCTGTCCGTGGCGGCCATCCTCTTGTTTTGGCCCTTCGCGCCGAGTGCCAGCTTTGTCGGCGCGACTCGCGGATTGCATCTCGATGCTGCCAACGTTGTGAGCGTCCGGCTGAC